GTCCTCCCGGCTCCCCCCGGCCCCCAGGGATACCCCAGCCACTCTCACCCCTCCTTCCCTCTGCCCTGGGCTTCTCTTGAAACCCACAGGAGAATTTACGGCTTCTGTTTTTACAAAGGAATAACCCATTTCTCAGGCTCTCGACACAATAGCCGAAGAGTGCCTGCGCATGCGGGGGGATGTGTGCGTGCACACAGGCACATGGAAAAAACTACTTCGGGGGTGAGAAACGTGATTGCTCTGCTTCTCCCAGTGCTCTACTAAGACAACAGAATCCAATTAGCTTGCTCTGAGATTGCATAATGTTTGTAAACATACATTTGTGCACACACCCCCTTAGCATTTATTATACGGGATCTCTACGCGTACGTGGTTGCACCCGTAAAGTAACGGGAAAGGCTCTGCAGAGAAACAGGTGTAAGAAGTGCTTAGAAATGTGCTGGCAGATATTAGCTTGTTTATCAATCTCTGCGCACATTGTGTGCTTTTTCATTAACCTGGCGATAACCCTGCTGTAAGCTTTCCTGAAGATGCAGAGCAATGAGGCTCATCCCACAGCAAAACATTTCAGGAATTCGTGTGCTCCGGAGATAACAGGAGTAAGATTCAGATATCCAATATTCAGTGGGATTTCCCTGCAAACACAGGCAGTTCTTGCTACAAATAGGATACCCTTGCTATTTTACTGAGTGGAGAGTTTGAAGTAACTTGTAATTTCTTTATGAAGCATAAAAATATGTAGCCGGTGTTATCTGAGGACACACGCAATGAAATAGCAATTGAATTAATGGGAAGATGATTGTGTATTTTGGTCTCAGCCAGAGTAAATTTTCATATTTTCATTCTTCTCTCTTTCTTTCCAAGCATCTGTGCTTAACACAAACATTTGGTTTGATGACTACATCTATGTTTGTCGAAGCATTTTCTCTTCTGTTACAAAATGCCTGTTGTAATAATAAGCTGAGGTCAGAGTAGGAGGCAGGACTCTTCATTACTCCCATTTGTCCCTTCTCCATCTCTACCTGATGCTGCTGGCTTAAACAGTGGCTTCAGGTGGCACCGCTGGCAGCAGCAAGATGAAGGATGACCGAGCACTCACCCGAGGAACCAGCTCAGGAGACTAGATGTGGCTCATGTTGTCTGTCCCTAAGCCGTGTCAGTGTATTTGAGGTTAAAGTGAGAGTATTTGGCAGCTGAGGAAAGCAAGCATCTGGTTCACCATCCAAAGGGATGAATCTGAGTCTTGTCCTAGACTTTGCCTGGCAGCTGCGCTGCAACTGATTTGCGAACGTTTGCCAATCCAGCCGAGCGTGCAGCCGAAGTGGCGCGTACGACAGTACTCACATCTCCCGCTGCCTACCGTGGGCTGTTGGATAACGTCTTCTTAGCTTGATTTTTTATTAAAACCATGGAAAAAAGCTATTAAGTGTATTTGATTTTCTACTATAATTGCATTAATGTTGTAATTGGCAGTTTGAACATATATGGTATATGAAGACGGTAGAGTTCACTTATATGCCTCCAGGGCTAATATTTCATCTAGTGTTTTACATGTGTTTTTCTTGTTATGGTGATGTTATTGTAATTATGATGGTCGTTTGTATTATGGTATTAATGAGTAATCAGCACCCCATTGTGCTAAGCATCAACAAAGACCTAACACTGTCCTCATCCCTAAGACATTGCAACCTAAATATATACAGTCTTTTTCAAGGAATCATGAGGAAGAGCATACTAATAACTAAGCCTGGAGGCTCCAGAGCTGCAAGAAAGGAGATTGGAGATGCCTTTCAGGGATGCACAAGCAGTTTCTGAATACGCATTGTACCCTCTTTCTGTCCTTTACCAGAGTATGTGTCTCAACAAGGTCTTTTATAGTAAAGAACATGAATTTCCAACATTGTAACAAAAAAACCATAAACTCGTTCTGTGAGGAAAGAAAAAAAAAAGTTTAAAATTGCTTTTTAGTATGGATGAAATGAGATTTTGGGCTCTCTGTCTTCCTGCACGGAAATTGCCCAAATATCCAGTCACAAGGACGCGCCTTTCATACTGCCTGTTTGTGTGCCTACAGCACTGGCATAATTAAATAAGTTCTGATACCTGCTATGGCATGGAAATGTTATCAGCCTACCAACATTATCATGTCTTCTGTGCTCTAATCTTGTTACAAACCCAGACTTCTTAAAGCATTAAATGTGCAAAGTAAATGGCATCTACCTTTCTGAACAATTTTTAACCTTTTTTTTTTCCCTATCAGAATGCATCCACTGTCTTAATGCAGCTGTCTGTCTTCCACCTGGCCTCAATAATCATGTATTGGAAGCTGGCTTTTAAACCAGAGTCTGGAAGAAATGGTTGGCTAGATAGGGCTTTCTTGCATTGCTATTGCTCCTTGTCATTTCTCCATGCATGAATGACGATGGCCTGCTCTTGTTTTTTAGCTTTTTCAGCTCATTGAGCCGCTCAATGCCTATTAAGAAATTTGGGCAGACAATTATATATCTGTGCTAACGATTACAGCTCAAGTTAGTTTACGTATCATCATTTCTTTAAGCTGTATTATCTGTTAGGACACTGGCCCTTTTGACGCAAATCTGCGCAATTAAACACAAGTGCGTAAAGTTAGTGTACCACTGATATTATAAACAACACAAAGTTTGAGCAAGCTGCTCAGTTAGCTGAAGGGAAAGGAACCTCATTCTTTGGTCAGGATTGCATCACAGGCCATTATCCAGTCACGGGACTTTAAAGGCCATTTCTCCAAACAACCGATATACATGTCAGAACTATTTGATTACAGACGCTACAGTCGTTTTCTTTCAAATTCATGGAAGATCAAAGGAACATACCATATTTGAAAGAGCTTGACCCTGCTGAAGGGTTAAGCTCTACTGTTGAAGCTGGAATTGAACAAGCAACAAGTAAATGTTGGATGAAAAGCAAAACTAGATACCTTCAAAGAAGAATAGGGACAGACAGCATTTAAGAAGCATTCCGATGTGTTTATTTCCATGTGTACCAAATTAGGTTTTGGGAAACAAGTTAGCTCTACCATGACCACACCTGAATGTTCTGATTACAAGCCAATTTGTTGCGTAAGGCAAAAATATTTTTTCCCTGAGATTTCTATTAATTAACATGACTTTGATTTTTTTTTTTTCAGTTTAAACGAACGTTTAAATCCCTTTGGCAATTAGGTATAGTTTTGTTTAACTTTGTCTTGCTGTTTTGCAGGGTTATGGTTATTTTTACTGTGTGTCTTGTAATCATTGAGCCACAATATTGATATTTTGCCATTTTGTAAACTGAACTAAAAAAAAACAACATTCAGAAATGAGAACTTGCATCATTTTTCATGCTGACAAAAAGAACCTGCACATATTGCATCCAATACATTATGGAATGGATCTTGAAACAAATATAACTTGTCTTGAATTTAAGGCTGAAAATAATAAGAACTCATGTTTGAAGCCAAGCCTGAACCATGACAACGACTGAAAACAGGAGAATTGGGAATGGGATATTGGTCTTGCACAGCTCTATAATTAGGTTCATTGTAAATTCTGACCTCACAGGCACAGTGGGTTAAATGTTAACACTGACTCTAGAGAGCGAATAATCAAGGAGGGGCTGTGGAAGTGGATCCAATCATCAGGCTTCAAAAGTCAAGATTTTTTGAAAAGTAACTGTACTTGCCTGGTCATCACAGAACCTGCAGTTTCCCTGGCTGATCACTGTTTCCAGAAGAATTGTTTTGTCTTATGTGTTGAATGTTTCAGTCTATCACCAAATCAATAAAACTTCATTTTTTATTGTCTTCAGGCATGGCTTTTGTGCTTATACTGAAGGATCTTTCATCCTGAAATCTGGCAGCAATGTAGGAAACAGAATCCAGAGCATCACTGAGCGAACAGCTGTAATAGAGGGCAAAAATAAGGTATGATTCATTCTGAGGAGCAGATAAGCTTTCTGTGTGACAGCATGTGTTGAAAAGGCACTGTAAGATGCTACCAAGGTTACTGTAAAGGAGCCATTATTTTTATTTTGTTTAGACTTGAAGAGCTGCATGCATGCAAATAATTTCTATGCTTGGTGTTTATCTGCTGAGACATAAATGTATACTTATTCCTGTATGCAGTCATATTAAGGTAAGTGACATGCCAGGAGAGCATATCCATGGGATTCACCATATCTATTTTCTTAAAGCTGGTCTGTAGTATCTTGGGACACCTCAGGAGCACAGGGGCAGAGTTCCAGGCCATCTTTGCTTCATTTTGTGGCATTGCACAATTTCCTGTTGTTTTTCCTATGAGAATTAAACAATTTACTCTCATTAGAGAGTTTATTAACAGATGTGGTCCTAGATTATTAGATGACCAGGTCTTTTCTTGCAATAAAAAATTTAAAGGGCCAAATGAATCCGAACTACAGAAGCAAAGAGAGATCTCAGTCAGAGATAGCATGGTGGGATTCATCCCGACTACATTAACTGTCTGCATGTTAAATGTCTAGTCTAAGTCAGACATCCTGTTATGGGCTGCCTGAGAGATGCAGGAACTTCTGAAGGACGAGTAGACTTGTCATGTGTTGGTGTCTAACATGGTAGAGGAAGCCAATGAGACTAACTTGCCAAGGGCCATGGAGGATTCTCTGTCAGTTAAAACCTTTAAATCAAGATGTTTTCTTAAAGAATGCCCTAGATTAACTGCACTTCCCTGGGTTGAACATGAGACTGACTTGGCATCGTTGGGTAGCCTGTGCTATGGAGGAGCTCGGGCAAAGATGCAGAACGCCATGCCACTGTCAGCATCTGATTTCACAGACTAGTTTAATTTGTGGTAATAACAGATGAAGAGATTATAAATTTTAAAGCCTGCCTTCTTCTAGGACTGTCATTTCTAAGGACACTGAAATGCTTCTTGTTATTCTAAGGGCAGCAGGGATATAGGTCTCCTTTCCTTGATGGCTGTCTTCAGTCTTCTGAATATGAAAATGAATATAAAAATGGTAATTACTCTCATGTTAGGGCCCTTTCACACACCACAGAATAAATAGAGCTTTGTGTGTAGCCAAGAATCAGGCCCGGAACTACATTTTCTCCTGCTCTTGTATTATTTAGAAAGTATCACAGGTGTTGGTGGCACTGTTCCAGCGCATGGGAACAGGCTGGATCTCAGTGAGGCATTTGCTCTATTTAGATGGCCACCTTAAAGGTCAAGGCAAAGGTAGGAGCAAACAGCTTCCTAGGGGAGACTATCATAGGAAAGCATATGAAAAATGAAACATAAGGAGGGATTTGAAGGAGGAAAGGGAAATAATTTCAAGCACAGGAAGACACAGTCTATTCCAAAGGGGGAATGATGATCAAAAGTTGACGAGAACCAGTTATTTTCCAGAAGGCATCTAGCCATGCTGTGAGTGAAGACCTACCTTCTCACAGGGTGCAGAAGGAGCTGTCTAACAACCAGACCTCATTCTCCTGTGTGCCATGCATTTTGGAGACAGCGGAGGAGGAGTGGCTGAAATGTCAAAGCAACTTCCAGTCAACAGCAAAGAAATTCCTCCCTGGAGGAAGATACTAATAATGGGTCCTTGCGGCAGAACTGCAGGTTTTGTTTGAAGTCTTTGGCAAACAGCCCTTTTAAAAAATGTGCCCAGAAATGAACCAAGGAATGGTCTCTGCATGTGTTACATGAAAAGTTTTGCAGTGAAACTTAGCAATTCTCCTTGGTATTGCTTGTTCTCAGGCTGTTTAGTTCAGCTAAGAAAGGTCTACCTTGCATTGCTTTATTCCTCCTGGTCCCTATGGGGAAGGGGGTGTTTAGTGAAACAATCTCTTTGCTCAGCTTTCCCCCAGCTTTTGTAAGGTTTCTTAATTTCTGCTGCTCTTCATAGATTTTTGATCACAGCTGGATTGCTATTGTAAATAGAAAATGCTTTCTAAGCCTGGGTTCCTCAGCCAAGCTGTGAGCTGCATGATTTGTGCACACACAGCTGCTTTAGAGCATCCAGGATTATATTATTTTTTTTTTCCACAGGAGTCTATAGCTTTTCACTCTTTGCAGTCCAAGAATTATTCTTGCTCTCTCAGAGCAAACTCAAAGGGACACAGTCCAGACAAAACCCTTCCTCATCTGCTGGGATATTGTAAGACTGTTAATAGCACTGAGCTCACTGAATGCAGCACGTCATCACAAGTGTCTGGCTCTGATGGACTGCTACTGTGAGCAGTTCTGCTACTGCAAGCAGCTATGAACAGCTCTCTGAGGCACTTCCACATCAATGGAGTCCTGCTATCTAAACAGTGTCTACCCCACTTCCACATCCAAGCATAGCAAGCATGGTAAAAACAATCCCAAAGCTCAATGGAAACAACAAAGACGTAGGAGACAAAGCAGTAGGAAATGGATGAAGAGACTCAAAAAGTTGCACATTTGGGTTAGCATGAAAGGAGAAATGAGAGTGACCACAGGATGGGATTATTGTAGTCAAGGGAAGAGATGAGCAAGGAATGGTCAAAAGGGTTTCTTTTTTTTAGCAATCAAGGTAGCTGTTTTCACCTTGCTCAAAGACATTGTGCCAGTTCCACCTGTTTCCTGTATGTGCAACATCTGAGTTCCTCCAGTTTGGCTTTTCGCTGTGGTAGGTTGATTGGTTGTTTGTTTGTCTGTGGTTATCAAGGTAGCCACAAGTATATTTTCAAAGTTAGAAAAACCTCAAACCCTGTGTCAGTACCGTTAAAGTAACGCAGGAAGCCTGTGCTACGTTATTCTTCTGGTGTCAGAGAAACCGTGACAACAGCAGTGTTTTAGTAACATTTCCGTTGAAGCCTCTCTGAACGGACATTGAGAAACTTGACTGGTATAATGGAAGAACTTTGTAACATAAGCCATAATACTTAATCATAAGACAACTCTTTAAGTGATTTGATTCCCCCACCCAGTTTTCATTCTCATTTTGTTGGGCATTTCGGTGACTTGCTACAAAGCTGGGCTATTCTTAGGCTTATCACATAAACGGGTCACAGACACTCTCCTCTCATTCAGCTGCTAAAAATCATCACTTCTCAGTGTTCCCAGATAAAGCTAACTGCTATGTATAACTCAGGGCTAATGCTGATTATTATTATTCTTAACATGATCATCATTCATTAAAATGTCATCATTCTATGATCATTCATTAAAATGTCAACATCTTAATGACCTGTGCTAATGAGGTACAAGGAGCTAATGTATTCATTGGTATCCGTGCATACATATGAGTGTATGTTCTCTCCTGTGTGTGCAGACACACACTGGTTTATCAACAGCTTTGAAAAAAGGAGTCAGTACTCCTTGTACAGGGGTACAAGGGACAGGAGAGGTGGACAAAGATCCCAGGCACAAAGAATGCACAGAAGAGCGCTAAGAAGGTGAGTTCAGATGAGAGAGAGTAGAAGGTGTTGGCCAAGAAGAAAGGATGATAAATCCAAGGAAAGGAGACAGTAGACAGGAGAGCAATTGAGTACAGGGAAAAGTTGGAGGGAGTGAGACAAAAAACAGAAGTTTTACAGAAATAACCTGCTAGAGCCACATGCTTGAGAACTTGAAAGGGAACAGAAGGTCCCTGACTGCTCCATCCCTCTGCTCCTAGCAAATGCTGGGGTCCCACTGACAGTAAGGGATACCATGAAAGCTGGGTCTTTAACACAGTGCATGCCTCAGGAACTGTGTATAAAGAATAGTAATGCATGAAGTTGTGGTTTATTGTTTATATGTCTATGTAGAGATAGATAGATAGATAGATAGATAGATAGATAGATAGATAGATAGATAGATAGATAGATACATATATACATACATACATACATACATAGGTATGTCCTTGTTTTCCACTGCATAAATACTTATTGATACAAGTCTTCAGTGATTCCTTCCCTTGTGAGTGACAAAGCCACTTGAATTCAGGGAAAATGGAAAGTAATGACCCTTTAACAAGATTCTGCAAGACCAAAGCTACGCTAGCTCTTGTCTGTCTGTGGTTTGGCTGGCAATGATGGGTCAACCTGGCATGTGCTGACTGTGGGTAGTACTAAAAACTGTGATCGTCCAACATAAAGGTAGAGTGCAAGACAGTCAGAAGAGTCAATTCTTCTTGGACATGACCAGTAAGGTGTGACCACGCAAAATAGGAGGGATCTATCTCTCCTGCATCTTCTATGCCAAACCCTGAACCTCTAGCTGTCTTCCATGTCCCCTCATTATGAACGAGAAGAGGAAGCACCGTTGTGTCTGTTCTCAGTCTCTACACAGGCCAGCTATCTGGCCAGTACATCTCTGCTGATTGGCCATCTGGAACCCAAAGCAGAAGAGAAAGCTGTTTAGCTCACTACACCACCACTCATTTTGATCTTCCTCCTCTACTCAACAGCTGCTTTTCATGAAATGCATGAGATCTTATGAGCTTGGAGTTGTCTGTCAATTTTGGTTGCAATTGGGCAATGGACTGAAGGCGTGGGGGAGTAGAGGATACTGGCAGACAGATGGACAGTGTGATCTTCCTAGGAAGCCAAGCTAAAGATAGCAGTGGGAGTGTAGCTTGCCTCTCTTTCAACACATTCTAACTTCTCCTGGGGCCTTCATGAGTGCTACTAGAATCGCTGTCAACACTTTAAAGCAGATTGCTGGGAGGTGCCAGCTGAGCCAAGCCCTCGGTGAGATTAAAACCGGCAGAACTTGGCACCTGCCTCTGCCGAGCTGCCACTCCTTCCGGCTCCTGAAATCGATCCCATCCTTCGGTGCGCGAGGGAAGTGTGAACTGAGCACTGCCTCGCTCTACCTACAGCCCGGGGAGGAGGGCAGGGGGTGCCCATGGAAGAGCTGTCTGGAGCGTGATCTGCTCGTGAGTCAGCCGGCTATGTTCAGTCTCGTGGCCTGTTCGGGCTAGACAACATGGGATGGCGAG